ATAATATACATATTTTACAGATAAGCGAGAGAAATTAAATACAGAACCGTCAACACCGATCGGACTACATCTTGGTGCCATAATAATATTTTTATGTACATTCTCAATATCAATTTATTATTCAAAAAGGTACATAAATATTTTATATGTATATATATATATATATACATATATATAAAGATATAAAATTGAATCACAAAATTTATTTAAGAAATGTAAAAATATTGATGCAAATTGCTGGCAAAATATGTACGTATACAGATCAAATCAATTACAAAAATTAAATGTAATTTGCAATAGTAATATCATATTTTGGTAATAATTAAAAATATAAACATAGTAGCGATATGAAAGAATAAGTGGGACGAAAGAAAGCGCGACATGACGATGTAAAGTGGCACAAGAAACGACGGCTGTCTCAAGCTTGCTTTAGATAGAGGAAACTTTCGTGGTACGTAATCGCGTTCTTTTGTCGGTGGTGCACTTTAGTCGACAGTTGCGTCCTTCCATGTGTTGGCAACGCGCCGCGCTGTCTGACAACGTTGTCGACACTTTTCTATAGGCCATAGAGGCGGGTTTCGAGGCGAGTTGCGTGACAAGGCCGTTTTCCCTATTAGACTCTCGCTTCTCACACCGGGTGCGGGTAGCTTTTCCTAGCAGGCCGTCTTGATTATTAGGGCTGCCCTCAATCGAGGGGTAATCCAGAGGTACCCGACGATAGGCGGAGCTTGCGAAAACCTATTGCGCTGTGTTCTATCCAGTAACAGAGTTTCCAATAAATCTCTTCTTTTATCCTTGCTCTTTTGAGCTTTTTTAAAAGACTTTTAGCACAGCATAAAGTAAAGAGAAAATTATGACATATTTTTGTAAAACGTGCTATAAGAGAAAAGTTTATTTACAATTTAAATAAATTGTTGGTTTTATAACAATAAATCATGATTTAAATGTTTTTTTTGTTTAACATATAGGATAATATCATAATACTACTTATTGTTAGATGTCCCATGTAGCGCGCTCGTATGTTTCCTAATCATTATATAGTCATTGTTTAGCTTGTATGGAAAAGGGAACGGCAGACGTTTATGTCTTAAAGTTGCAAGTATTGTATTTTACTCTATAAGTATTTTATTCTACACGAATATTAGTGTATTTTATTGGTAGGTCAAAAATTTGGATCTGACAATAATTCTTATTGAACTATCAAAATAAATTTTGTTGGAAACTCAAAAATGATAAACATTAATATAAAACATTTTGATATTCTACAAATTAATTTGACTTTCCAATAAAATTATTTTGATGGTCCAAGAATTATTTTTAGATCTGTACCCAGCAAAATTTTTCAACCTTCCAGCAAAATCATTCTTTCCATAAAGTGCACGATCACGCTACCCTGTGTATACTTTTAATATATAAAAAGAATTTTTTTAAGTATTTTTGATCTAAAAAATAAAAGGTATGACAAGCTTAAGATTTGACAATTTTCTAGTTAATACACAGTTCCAAAAATGTCATTTCTGTACCTATGTACAGTGTGATTGAGAATTATAGTCTCGTATTATTCTTGAAAAAATATAGGTATTTCTAACTAAATTTTGAGACGACTTTTCTTCTTGCAAAACTTTTGTCCAAAGCTTAATGTTTTAATTATAAAAGAGGAAATAACTTATTATGAATTACAAGAAGTAGACAAGGGTGCATCTCACTGTTCAGCGCGCATGCGTTTATGTGGGAAACGCTTTTTACGAATAGCTGGTGACGGTGAGATGCCCATATTTTTTGCAACTAATCTGTAATAAGCTATTTCCTTTTATAATTAAAAAAATAAACTTTAAACAAAGTTTCGCAAAAGGAAAGCAAAGTCTCAAAATTTAGAAATACCTGTATCTTTTCAAGGTTATAAGGCTATTTTTTACCACATTGTACACAGCTACAGAAATGACATTTTTAAAACTGTGTATTAACTAAAATTGTAAAGACTTAAGCTTATTTAGCCTTTTATTTTTCAAGAATTTAGTCAGAAATACGTTTTTTCGGTTTTAAGGTCCTGAATCATTTTGTATATAATCTATTTTGCTTTTTAACGATATGTACATGTACAAATTTCCTATATTTGTTATGACACGGGTTCCATTATATTTTTCATTATTGATTATATACCTAGTATATTTTCTGCGCAACTATTTATTGAGATTTAACATAAAGATTTAATAACAAAAAAGCTGACTATTTCGGGGTTCCGGCACAGATAATTGTAGAGTAATACTTTTTTAAAATAGTAAAATCGAAATTAAAACTGCGGAATGCAACGATTATTGTCTAATAATTTAGAATTCACTCAAAATGATAAGAATAATTAAAATTAAATATCAAATATATTTAACATTTTCGGCATTATACACACTAATTTTATTATCAAGAAGTACAGATATTGACGTTTCTTGTATAATAATTCTGAGTTCAGTTAAATAATTCGAGTATTTCCGCAAATGATTTTTATTCATCCGTGTGATCTTTTAGTTATCTGCTACCAGCATTTTAGTGATTGCTTATTTATGACGCGATGATATATCTAGATATTTTTTAGCATAAAAAAACTTTCTTTAGGAAAGTAATTAAAAATATTATTATATATAAAATTAATGTTTTGATAAAAATATTTAATAAAAGCTTTGAGAAAGATTTTACAAAAATAACCATTTAATTATTTCTATAAATAAAAATAAATAATTATACGTAGAATAATATCAAAATTCTTTTCAATATTATTCTGTAATTATCTAATATCGAAATATCAAAAAAATTTCCGATATATTTAATGTTACTTATTATTCTAGAAAAAAATTGTATCTGTATGAATACACATTTATTTTTCTTAATAAAAACAAAATATTAAAATTTGCTTAATGCCGTCTCTGACTCTGACTATGGAAGCTTATTTCAGACAGACTGATCCTATCGTAAATCTTGAATCCGACGACTGCTGCACGATCCAGCCGCGAGTATTTTATGGAATCGCCAACGAAGTCCCATCCAATTCCAGCCGTCATTCCAAGTCCAAACATAACGCCATTCCGCGGAGCAAACATTTCTACTTTTCAACGTGCAAATCTTCCGCAATACCTTCGAGGAAGCTTGCATTTCTACTGTGCTGACCATTTCGCGTTTCATTCAGTTCCGTTTCTCATTCCCTCTACCCGCGTTACATATGCTTAATTGCTAGTTTAGACATACAACTGTCATGCGTATATACTATATTTAAATTGTGTATACACTTTTATATTGTAAAATATTCTAAAAATATTGTAAATTAATTATCTTATTAAATTAGTTTTATTTTATGGGTAGATATTTAAAAATACATTAACTATGTTACAAATAGATTAAATTATATAAATAGCGCTTTGCCAAAATAAGACCGAATACATATAAAAGATAAAACAATAATAATTATACATAATGGTTTATAAAAATACTTTCTTAAAACATCGTAGACATGATAAATTAATTTTTTTAATTGATTGGGTTTATTAAGAAAATAGTGCTTATACATGCGTATGTAGATTCCATTGATGTGTACTAAAATACTAAATGGATAGTACTGTAAAAAAAGTTATACGTAGTTACGTAATAATAACGACCTTGAAGTCATTAAATTGATTAATATGGTTTAGATATTCCCTTTTGAATTATTAGTAACCTCCCCTCTCCCCTCCTCTTTGGAGCACATTGTATATACTGTTACAATGAAGATATTGAAGACATATCTTTATTTCAAATTATATTTTAGCATTTTGTCATAAAACAAAATTGTAAATAAAAGAAATTTATTTCTTTATATAATTTTTAATTTTGTAAATGTAATATTATGGTATAAAATATAGTATAAATTTAAGGCTTCTGTTTATTTAATTACTACTATTTTAAATTGTGATGTCTGAAGAAAAAAAATATACAATAAAATTCTTGCAAAATACATACATTCAAATAAAATTATTCAATAAAGCAACATTTGCAATTGATAGAATAGTTTTATAAAATCTACCGAAAACTATCTTTTGATTTTGGGATGAAATCATATTTATTCCTATATATTATTATGGTTATAAAACCTTTAGATTATTGTTGAGGATCATAAGCTTAATAATATATGTCAAGGTCAAAAGCTGATTGGCGAGATGTTCATTATGGTAAATATTTATTATTAATTTGAGAGACAGTTGTCGCATAGCTGTGAACACAGCTAATTTTGTTTTTTATTATTTAATTGCATAATTTATTTCAGATATATGATTATTCATCAAATAACGAAATAAAAAGAGAGTTTTCGATATATTTTACAAGTTGGTTCGATCGATTGTAAGTACAGTTTTATTAAAACATATTTTTATTTTGATACATTTTCCAAGAATTTTTATTGTGTATTTTTTTGTTTCTGACGTAATCATCTAAGATAGTGATAAGTGAACAGGAGCCTTAAATTTGAAGAAATTATTTAGCCTAATTAATCCTAATAAATTAGAAGATTTTTGAATAAATGTATCATCATATATTTCATTAGATTTAAAGATTTTTATTGATTGATGGAAAAAATAACATATAAATAAAGAAAAATTATTGAGAATTTAATTAAATAAAACAAAATATATTTTTTATTTTTTTTTATTATCACATTTTTTGCAGCTATTATTGTGTTTATATGACAAAATATTACATATTTTTATTAATATTGTATTTTATATATATATATATGTATTTATATTTATTTATATCAACCTTAATCCAGAAAATTCTAAAATTTTGAACAAAAAAGTAATTTTCTTACGCAAAAGACACAAAATTTTTGATAGAAATCAATCTGGACGGTCTTATATATATATTATTATTAAGTATTATTATAGTATAGGGAAATTCTCTCGAATGCTACGCAAACTATTCTTTATTATAAAAATCCTGATATTTTGAAAAACACCGTTTGATAAATAATATTTCTATTACAGGTCTACCATGCAACCGTTTGCAACAGGTAGTGCAATGGCGACCGAGACACCAACAAGTCTGTCACCTGAGAGGGTAACTTCCCCGACGCCTTGTCGAAATCTTACCTTTTCAATCGCTAAGATTATGGAACCAGACAAACGATTGACCGAGCAGAATGCTAATCCGGTGCCTCCACCACCGCCAGCAGTACCAGCGACGACGACGACAACGATTCTTCAACAACTGCCAAACATCTCTCCATCATACTCGGCGCATTTGAAGTCAGCGTTCGAGAAGTACGTACCGACCTTGAGGCATCAAGATCTTCTCCAGCATTATCCCGTATTGTCTAAATACTATCCACTGTACTATCCGAATCCCTTACTAAGGGCCTTCCCAGGCCCTCCCGCTTCGACCCCATCGGTCACGCAGAGTTCGCCACCTCCCACGACCATTCAGGAGGCTCCCTCGAGACTGAATATAACTAGCATATCGCCGGAAAATCAGCGTGGCAAGAAGAGTCCGGCGCCGCGCAGTGAACTCGGTACCGCGAACAAGCAAAAGACTTTCACTTGCCCAGAATGCGGCAAGGTGTTCAATGCGCATTATAATCTGACTAGACACATGCCGGTTCATACAGGCGCCCGGCCGTTTGTCTGCAAGATTTGTGGCAAGGGTTTCCGTCAGGCGAGTACCCTTTGCCGACACAAGATCATCCACACCGCTGAAAAGCCGCACAAGTGCGTGACGTGCGGCAAGGCCTTCAATCGTAGTTCTACCCTCAATACCCACACGCGCATACATGCCAATTTCAAGCCGTTTGTCTGCGAGTTCTGCGGCAAGGGCTTCCATCAGAAAGGTAACTACAAGAACCACAAGCTCACGCATAGCGGCGAGAAAGCGTACAAGTGCAACATTTGCAACAAAGCGTTTCATCAGATTTACAATCTGACCTTCCATATGCATACGCACAACGACAAGAAGCCGTTCTCCTGCAAGATCTGCGGCAAGGGCTTTTGCAGAAACTTTGACCTCAAGAAACACATGCGGAAGCTGCATGACGCGGGTTCGCCAGTGCTTAACGGATTGGATGCCTCGGGCCAGAATCACAATCAACAATCGGGCTATTCATCAGTGTACCACGGTCCAGAACATTCTATTGTCAGTCCATTTATACTTCCCCCACCTGGATCCACCAGTTATCACTCTCTGAGTAAGATGTTGTGACAAAGCGAGAATATACACTATCCCAGAAAAACTCAATATCCGCTCATTCTTGGCTCACCTTGCTACTCAACTGACATGAGTCAGTTGGCGCAAACTTCTAAATGAAGGGTAAAGAAGGCGCCACAGATTCGTTCGATTTATTCTTACTTGGAACGAATATTTCTCATTTAGTCACAAAAATGAGCCGAAAGATATATTTCTGATGTATCTTGTTGAAAATGTATAGAATCTCAAAAAAGTAAATTTACGGATAAGATTTTTAAATGTGACAGGTGTTTTAATACAACAAGAAACAATATTAATATTTTATAATTTGTTCGATAAATTTTCGACAACTCTGCTCATCCTTAAAATGATTAAAATTGAATTGAAACAAAGTTAACGAACTGACTCAAATAAATTTGTCATTCTATCTTCTTATTTTCTCTTGCACGTCGAGAATGTGTCTTACTTATATATCTACTTACTTATATGTCGAGAAAAAAGTATTTCTAATTTTCTATTTTTATAATGTAATCGCGATAAAGTTGTTTAAAAGTTATTCTTTCAAATTTTTCAAAACTTCTTATAACAAAAAATTGATTTTTCATATTTTCGTAATATCTCACTGTTAAAAAAATTTTTAATATTCACATTACATTTTTTCATCAGTTTATAGTATGCTGTAAATAGAAATATAATTGTCAAACTTTCGACTGGATTGCTGCAAGTGTTGTAACATTCTGGACGATACTTATGGTCAACATGTAATTTTGGAATATTCACAAAGCACATTGGATATTATAAATAATTCACAGCGTGAAATCAACCATATCACGAAGATAAATCAATAGGACACAGAGATGCCCTATTAGTCTCTTCACGAATTGGGAAGGGTTTTAATGATCGATTATGAGCGTTAATGGTTGCATCAATGGATTCCTGCGGGCTAATGTAAATATTTGTAAATATTTGTATGTGCAAAGCAAATACGTTACACGTAACGGTGGACGGGAACGAGAGTTATTAGCAAAGTGATCTGTAATTAGGGTCGTTTCAACACAGAGACCTGATAGAGAGTCATGGAAATACGATAAAATCGTCCAAAAGGCTTATCAAAAATTCGTCCAGATTTCACGAAATATTTACCTTCGAGTTCCATTATGTATTAATTGTTCTATTGCAGAAATAAAAATTTGGAATAAATACAGGGTAATTAGTCCTATTCTACCTTCTGGATCTTGAAAACGGTTTTTTTAATATTAAAAAAACACTGAAATACGGATTCGATTATTTTGACAGGCTACTTTTTTATTTTTTTATTTTTTAAATTTCTTAATCACTCTTCAGAGACCGGCATGCAACTCAAAAATTTTTAATAAAAAAGGAAATCGAGTTGATTTCTTGTTTTAAAGGTCTTATTTTAAAGTTAAAAGAAAAATTTTCGCGCAAGTCGCAAATTGTTAATGACGCTCCTTTTAAAAGTTACAAGAGTTCAAAAATAGCCTTTGTATTTTAATTTTTTGCTCTAAGGATTAGGAAAGTTATAGAAAATCTAACTTAATATTGCTTTTATTGTGTATTATAATTACAACAGATCTTTTAGATTTTTATTATAATAAGCATTTTTTTGCTTTTTTTATATTAAAGAACTTTAAGGTTTCAAAAGGTTTAATAATAAAATCCAAAAAATGCTCTTAATACTACTTTATAGTAATACACAATACGGTACAATTTTGCCATAAAGTTCATTGTCCTATAATTTTCCTAAGTAAAAAATGCAGATACAAAGACTTTGTGAACATTGAAATTTTTGATGAATATTTTTTAACTTTTAATAAGAGCGTACGATAACGATCTGCGTGAAAAATTTTTTTTTACTAAACTTTTAAAATAGGATACAATTAAATCTTATTTTTCATTAAAAATTGTTGAGTTATCTCTTAGCCCCTGCTTACCTATAAAGAAATTAAGAAACATTTGTTTCTATAAAAAAGTAGCCCTTTGAAATAATCAAAGCCATTGACGTGGTTTTCTGATACCTAAAATTGCTTCAGGGAATACAGATTTTGTAATTACCCTGTATATGCATTTGTAAGAAATGAATGTCAAAAATTTCATATTTATTATATTAAGTTGTAAAATAATTACATTAATATACTTTTTTATTCATTATATTCAATTCATCATTTTATTCAAAACAGTTGAAAAAATGTTTTGTGACTAACATTCTAGATATTTTGCTATTTTTTAAATATAATTTATTTTTTTAGCATTTATCCATTTATCAATTTCCGTAATGAAAATATTGTCTAACATAATGCAATAACTTTAGTAATGCTGACTACGTGTCAAAACTCAGATAAGTCCATTTATCTTATTTTAAAGTTATCGACAAAAATTACATATTCTTGTAATTATTTTTATTTTATCAACATTACATATCAAAGATTTTTATTTTCTTCTAAGATAGATCGATGTATAATTGAACACGAAGGGAAGAGATTTCAAAATAGATTTTTATATCATTACAAATAAATTACGAATAAAGAGTTAACGGAGCGATATGGAGCGATCTTATACGTTAACAGTATATCTATCTACTTTGAAGCAAATGTATAAATCGGTGTGATAGTAGCTTTAAGTAAATTATAGGTAGCAAATGAAATGTTGGTCATTATTATTACTATTGTAATTATTATTATAGCTAAATTATGATCACTGTGGCTAATGCGACTACGATCATTAAAAGCTTTGCAATAGAATCAAGAATGTTTACAAAGATTATTATTATTATTATTATTATTATTGTAACTCGTGTAACTATTTATGCATTTTTATTTACATCTTGTAACTGTGGAAAGGCAGCCTAAAGACTATTTTCTATTGTGCATAAAATAAATTTCGAGATGCCGCGTTACAAAGCAACATGATTAAAACAAGATTAATTTGCTTTATCACATGTTAAAAATTTATTTTAACAAAATGAGTAACAAACTTTTTGTCTGTATATGTATCTTACGAGTTAGATAAGCGGCAAGTATTTGCGGTGAAATTAATCAAACGTAACTAAAAATGAAAAGTTATGTATGTAGATAATTGGTAGAGTAGATGAAAATGCATATGTATGTGTCCTTGTTGTAAATATGAGTCAATCCGATGCAATAAATTCATCGATACCAGTGAAATACTCTTTGCTCCTCTCAGTCTTTGCTCCTTCTCAAATCTTTCCTAGTTAATCAGATTTATAATATGTTAATTTAGCATGTGCTAATTAATATACGATTGAAATAAAAAAGATTGAAAAGTATTGTAACAATAAAAATTAAAATCATCTTATGCCAAAGTAATTAATTTTAATAACATACCTGAAATTTATTGTTTTTTTAAATGAAAATGACATAAATGAGAACAAATAAATTTATAGATCAGTATATTGTAAGACTATTATTTCCTTTGTATATAATGTATGTACACAAATAATACAACTAAAAAATATTAATATTGAAATATAAAATATTTATCCTGAAAATATATTGTATGTTAATACTATTTTCTACAAATTTTTAATTAAAAATATTACATTAAACGGTAGATGTTTATTATTAACATATATTTCAAAATATTTGTGCACTACCAGCAATTTAATGAAATTTTTTACGTTAATTAATCTCTAACTTTTTGGCTGTAACGTAAATTAAAAACACATTATATTTGCATTCAATAATGTCAAATTTAATAAAATTCCATTAATTTAGCTTGCAGTATTCGATATGAAAAAGAAACGGAAGTGTTGCGTAGTATTATAAAATTATATATCGATTACGCAAAAAAAAAAAAAAACACTTAACCCCTTGTAATATATATAACGAGGGTGTATACATGCTAATCTCTTGGGCATATCATCCAAGCGATCCCTAATCTAGCTGCAGCGAGCGAGAACCGTCTCTTAAGCACATCATCTACCTCGATATCCCATCTTCTACCATCGCGGAAGAGGATTAACGATATCGGAAGCGAGTAGTCCGATCGACGGAGAACACTGAAAAAGGAGAGACAAAGAGAATGTCTACCATTAGAGATGATGTGATCCGTAGGGTTGGGAATAGAATAGGGAGAAAAAGAGGGAAAGGGAGATGGCTTGATTTAGAACGAAACAGAGATTGAAAGTGCAGCCAAGAATGATAGCGGTTGCATGAAAGAGTGGGAGGCGTGTTAGAGATGGATAAGGGGGTGCGGAGCTCGAAGGGCGTCAAGGAGGGACAGAGAGAGGACAACGTGCTTCTCTTCTGATGTTCGCGCGAGATACCGCACCGGCCCTCTGATGTATCTGCAGAATCTGTCCTCTATCCATTAAATTTGAGCTCATCCGACCATCGGGGCCATCCTATCTCTTATCAAATACGGTCGGTCGTTACGGGATCGGTGGTGCTATATAGAACATCGTTCAGGTTACGTGTCAACGAGGAATACACAGCGGCGTTTGCGATGTAACACGGCCCGCCAGTGAATACTTTCGTGCTCGATACGCGAGTGTATCGTATCGTATCTCAATAACGTATCTGGACTCGCGATATTGAATGTCCTGTTCTAGTCACGTCATTAATTCTAAAAGATTAGTCATTGAAATAACTAATTACAAAGATGTGTAAAAATTTAACGTTAAAATATTATAGAAAAAAATTTGAAAATGCAATCAAATTTTATTAATGCACATAAAGATATACATGTGTAAAGTCTTGTATATATATATACAAAATGTAAAGAACTAAAAGAAATTTTAGATATATTTAATATATCTAAATACAGGATGTGCTAAAAATCTGGAAACGCCAAAATAACTGTTGAAGAATTCAAAGTACATATATATATAAGGATTGAAATTTATAGGGATCTAATAGATAGATCATAAAATTTATCATTTAATCTTTGAAACACCCACTTTAACATCCCCCTCGGAAGGAAGAGGGGAATCGGAAAATCTTAAATAGCATGTAAGATTGAGTGAAGGTTTGTTTAAAAAAGCTTTTTGAGACAAAAACAATACGATGCGATCAAGGTTTCTATGATTTTTTTTAGCAAAACATTGACGCAATTTAGCGCTAGCGATGAGGGGAGCTTACGTGAGGGGAGCACGTGAGGAAGATAAAGCTTGTGTTCCTGAGTGGGTGGAGATGAATGTGTGTGTGTGTGTGTGTAGCACAAGTAGAAATAGAAATACACACAAACATACACACACGCACGCAACACCCATATGCACTTCCATTCACTCAGGAACACGCATAAAACCTTATCTTACGGTCTCGCCTGCAAGAGCTGTCGCTAAATCGCTAAATGTTTGAGTGATAACTCTGCGAAAAAAAATCGTAGAAAGCTCGGTTACATCGCGTTGTTCTCGTCTCAGAAAGCCCTTTTAAACGATCCCTCACTCGACCCACATGCCATTTAAGATCTTCTCTCCCCCGCCCCGCGGGAGTGTATAAGGTGGGTGTTTTCGAAATTAAATGATAGATTTTATGATCCCATTGTATTTCTATAAATTTTAATCTTATACTTCGAAACATTCAAAA